TTCCTGTGATCAAAGCTGAATATTCAGCATCATTACTCCAGTCTTCAGTGTCATGTGATCCTTCTGAAATCATTCTAATATGTTGATTTATCATCAGTGTTGTGCTGCTTCATGTTTTTTTTTTTTTGGGAAACTGATACTTTTTTCTGGGTTCTTTTATGAATAAAAAGTTAAAAAGCATGATCATGTGACACTGAAGACTGGAGTAATGATGCTGAAAATTCAGCTTTGATCACAGGAATCAATTACATTTTAAAGTATATTAAAATAGAAACTATTATTTTAAATTGCAATAATATTTCCCAAAATAACAGATTATTTCTGTATTTTTGATCAAATAAATACAGCCTTGATGAGCACAAGAAACTTCGGTAAAAATATTAAAAATCTTACTGATCCCAAACTTTTGAACGGTAGTATATATATATATACTCTTATTACAACTTTAATAAGAGTACTGTTATTTACACTAATTGAGGTCAAACAGGTTTTTGTAACTTATATGTCTTATAAATTCAGTTTGATCAAATTTAAGGCCATAAAAGTCTTAAATGGTATAATAATAATAATCTTAATTAGCTTTTACTGTATTGTTCGATCAAATAAAGCATCTTTGGTGAGCATGAGATACATCTTTCAAAAACATTAAAACACCTTACTGAACCCAAACGTTTGGAAGGTAGTGTAATCATTTATTTGCTCTTTCTCATTGTTACACTTTTAAATAACTTTTTATCTCTTCATCCGAACTTCAAAAACTGCAACAACTGTTGGGCTGCTCTCACTGTTAAGAAAAAATGGAGAAAACATGTCTATTTCTTATTCTCTTTATCTTGTGCAGTTGACTTGCAGTATGTGAAAGCTTGAATCACCAAAGCTAGTTTAACTTCTTTGATGTTCTTTTTCTAATCACTTCATTTTCCATAATCTGCACAGACGGCAGATATCAGGCTCTTGTAGCTGTGTAACTCATTAGATTTTTCAGAGGTTATCAAAACCTTCGGGAACAGTCTAAATCAACAGGAAGATCAAGTTTATGAATGTTCCTTCAAAGTTTAGCTCTGTCCCAGACTTTCTCAGCAAAACCTTTTCTGGTGTTTTTACGCTAAGTCTGTTTCTTCTGTTCCTGTGTTTCTGGAGATCCATGTTCCGCATTATAGTCCGTACCCCACATATCCAGGGCTGAGAGATGAACCTTCCCAGCATTCACAGAGTCACATGGAGGGAGAGCAAGGAAGATCTGAGCTTCCTCCTCAAGTCGCAAGAATCCCAGGTATTAAATATTGAAACCGTACATTGTTGATTATTCTGATAAAATTAGGGGGGAGGACAAGGTTTCTGTGGGTCTTAAAAATCCTTAAGTGAGTGAGTGAGTGAAGTGACGTGGCCAAGTATGGTGACATACTCGGAATTAGTGCTCTGCATTTAACCCATCCTAAGTGCACACACACAGCAGTGAACACACACACACCATGAACACACACCCAGAGCAGTGGGCAGCCATTTTTGCTGCGGCGCCCGGGGAGCAGTTGGGGGTTCGGTACCTTGCTCAAGGGCACCTCAGTCGTGGTATTGAAGGTGGGACAGAGCGCTGTACATTCACCCCCCCCACCTACAATCCCTGCCGGTACGAGACTCGAACCCGTAACCTTTGGGTTACGAGTCTGACTCTAACCATTAGGCCACGACTTCTTAATTCACCCTTACACATATTAAGGCCTTAAAAAAGCCTTAAAATCATAAAGACATGACATTAAATGTTGCATGCACTGCAATAAATTCACATCTTCCTCAGTATTTGTCTTCTTTTGTAATATCTAAACATCCTTAAATCAAGATGCATTCACTTGCGAAGCAAAATGAAGTATAGTTTAAGTCTAATTTTCTGAGAAATTCAACAACATTAAGTGAGTTTATGCTAAATACAAGAGCAAATGAAAACATTATTTCCATTTTCATTAAGTTGATTTTTCCGAGCCTGTTTTGTTTGTTCTTGTTTTATCATAAACTCTCTTCATTTTAATCAATTTCTCAGAAAACTCAGACTGACAAGATATTGCTGTATGTAATTTTACTTCTCATTGTATCTTGAAACATTTGTGTTGGAAAACAAGACAAAACTGAGGAAGAACTGTGTAATAACAGGGTTCCCGCGGGTCCTTAAAAGTCTTACAATGACTTAAAGCTGCTGTAATGCATAAAAATACCATAAAATGTTTGCAGATATTTAAGAAACATGCTAAGTTAACATACTTGTTTATCTGAAAAACAATGTTACAGTCAGTTATTCTCCTTTGAAAATGTGCGTTCCGGGCCGGAATGTCGGTCTCTGTTTTGGTTTGTGATTTTTTTTAATTGTATTTCGGGACCCCGGGTTGTCAGTTGGCGGAAATTTCATTCATCGTCAAGTGCGCTCGTTCCTGTTGGTTTCGTCAATCTGGCAACCTGCGTGTGCGTCAAGTCTGAGGAGGAGGAGAATTATAGTCTGACCAACTAGCAATAAGTCAATTTGGCTCGATATTCTGTTAAAGCTTCAGTCCGTAACTTTTTTGTGTTCAAAATTTACAAAATGTATATAATAATCGAGTACACCATGAATCCATTTTCCAAACCGTGTCTTTGGCTTGTCCTGAATCACTACGGTACACCTATAATAAGTGTTTATATTCGGACTATTTTAGACTGGTTCGGGTAAGTACCGCTGCGGAGTAGCCCAGTACCTGCGAGATTCGTCATAGACATAAACAGAGAGAAGTAGCTCCGGCTACAATCTTCTTCTTAAGTCGCACGCAGTTCTGTTTATTAACCGCTAGAGCACCAAAAGTTACGGACTGCAGCTTTAACATGAGTGCTGCACGTTTCAAAGTCCGGTGCTGCGCTGCTTTGTGTTCTGCCGTTACCGGGGAAACAGTTCCGAAAGCGCCTCCTGCTTGCAGAGAATGAATGTGCATTTAATTTCAGTAAGGCTGTTGTAGTGAGTAGGGTATTCCTGCAATACCGGAGGCTGTAGTTAAGGACCGCATTTCTAGGACCCTATAGTTTTTTTAATTTAATTTTTGTATGTACTTGTGTCTGTGCGAGACTTCAGTTCATTAGCCGCAGCGCAGCTTCACATCTGATGTGTGACCCACTTAAAGTGCAGTAAACGGTAAAATAATTGCGCTACAAATTAGTGTGATTATTAGTACTTTAATAATTGTAAAATAATTTGAATTAGTGCTGTCAAACGATTAACAACATCCAGCAGCACAATGAACTGTTTTGCACAGCTAAATGGAGATTGCTGACACCCCCTCGAACACTCAAGTTCACGCTAGCTCTTACATTAAAAATAAGACGGAAAGATAAAGAATGAATAGTTTCCATAGATCTAGTCTTTGCATCAGTTTGTTTGATGTCTGAATCAGGTCTCCTCTGTTGGAATAGAATTGGCTAAACGGCGCTGTCCCAAAAAATAGGGTCCTAGAAATGCGGTCCTAGAACTGCAGCCTCCGGTGTTGCAGGAACATTGGGTTGTTTTTTGCTCAGACCAACGTTTGAAAATCGTTTTTACCCTGCAAACACGCAGAGCTGTAAATGTGAACTGCTGGATAATTAGTTATAAAAATCTAAACAGTAAAATGTGTTTGTATGTTAATTAATATAATAATTTATTGATAATAATTGTTTAAATTAATATAATAATTAATACTTTTGACTCAAATGTTTTTTTTTTAAATGGTTTAATGGCTGAAATGTCAACTGTATCATTTTATAAAACTTTTTGTTTTTGTGAAAACTTGTATCTGAACTGTAAATCATGCTTTTTACAGTCATTTTACAGTTTAATAGTTTACCATAGTCATTGCCCTACCCTGCTCATATGGTATTAATTTTATTCGTGCAGGTATTAAAAGGTCTTCAATTTGAGCTTAACAATCCTGCAGCTATTTAAAATGATTTAAATAGTAATTGAGTTCCATTGGAAGTTGTATTTTTAAACTTTTGCCGATACAACTCATTTGCTGCTCCCTAGACATTTACATTTAGAGAATATATTGACATTGTGTTCAGTTTTAATTTTTTTTGTCAGGGGAATTTGTTTGCTGCCACAGTGACTGAAATAGGTGGACTTTCCTTTACATTTTCATATTGTTCATTGTTTGCTTAATACAGAAAGTCAAGTTTGTGGTATCCAGCGAACAGATGCTGTACCTGCTGACAGTCTTTCCTCTTGGAACGCAGATGAGACCAGATGAGACCTTCGGTTTTCATGACGACTGATTTCACATCTTTTGTACATAACAAAACAGGAGTTTTCCTTATTCTTTTTCAATTTCCAATAGCATCTACAATGCATGTTCGTTACTGTGACAATGTTCGTGATGACTGAAATCAATGCTGTCTTTGTTCCAGTTAAAGGCAACAGTTTTTAATTTCTTTTTACACTACAGTTTATTACTGAATCGATTATGGTATCAGTTTTCATTTGTTGTTGCATTTGACAGGTTAGAAAGTTGAATGCCTGTTGTTTGTACTGTTTTCGGGGCAGTAGTGAAATTCAAGATGTTATTCTCCAAAATCTGGATAAGTGTTTTATGAATAAACGGTTCAATTCTAAAGATTTCGTCTTTTTGATTTTGTGAAGCTTAACTGAAGCAGCTCTCGACTCTTAAATCAGTATTTTCTATTATTATTATTATTTTCCCCTGTGTAACTCAGACCCAGTGTGATCCTGTTTGTAAAGAGACATTAAGATTCCCAGGATGAACATCTCACTTCATTTGCTTATCTGAACCCAGACGGCGCAGGAACACACTGTCAGAATACTACAACCACGACCAGTGGGCAGATAAACTAATTACAATCTCATGAATATTAATGTACTCCTCTGGCTCAGAGCAGCGCTGAATGCAAAACTCCGATCCGATGTGTGCCAAACTCAAATGTGTGTTCAAAATGTAAGCAGATAAAGCAGTATGTTTATTCCCATAGCAAATACAAACATTACTGTGAAAAGAGATTTGATTTGCTGACTGATTTAGTACAAGACTGTGTGCTTTCTGAACCCAAACAAGCACGGGAAAACTAGCTTTACAGTCTGTCTCTACATTAAAAAAAAAAAAAAAACATTACCGATGTAGATACAAATCTATGGAAAATTTTTCAATTAAATAACTTTTAAACTGAAGAGAACTATGGTGATCAGCACCCTGAATGGTTTTATTGATGGTGTTAACATTGGTCTGCTTAAAGGAACACTCCACTATTTTTATAAATAGGCTAACGGTAAAACTCAACTGTTTGTTTAACTCTAGGGGAGTTGGAAAATGAGTCTATTTTCAAAAATAGTGGAGTGTTCCTTTAATACAAACATAAAATATTTGCTCTCGGGCAACATGGAGAAGTCTTTTGAAAAATACAACGGTGTTTGTCAAAAAAAGAACAAAGCCACGACTTCACCCAAGTAATAGGAAACAGAGATTAAAAAAAAAAAAGTATTTTTAATGGCACAATTCATTTGAGTGAGAGGTACTAATGGGAAGATACAGCTCATTTGCGTGCCTTCATTTTCTTTCTTGCCTCTTTCC